AAAAAAAAAACCCATTATTAATTACATTATTGTCTCCCTTAACTGCTGTTTAACATGGTCTGAAATGGAAAAACATTAAACCCAAGTAAAGATTGTCCTATGCCATTGTCCTTGCCTGCTATTTTAACTTCCTGGTAGCTTACTCATAAGGCATACTCTTCTTCTTTTAATTTCATTGGCGCTTGGGGTTCTTGTGTGATGAAGAAGGGAAGAGGATTTTGGGATTTCGCTCTCAGTCTCCCTCACATTAATGTACACAACATAGGTATCTCGACAAAAGTAACGAAAAGACACTCGACAGTGAAAAGAGAGACGCTTGCAGAGAAAGCTTGGGGTTCTTGTGTGATAAAGAAGGGAAGAGGGTTTTGGGATTTCGCTCTCAGTCTCCCTCACATTAATGTACACACCACAGGTATCTCGACAAAGGTAACAAAAAGATACTCGACAGCGAAGAGAGAGACGCTTGCAGAGAAGGCTAACTCATGTTAAAAAAATGATAACATTATTAGATCTTTCACAGTTTTTATTGAGATCTTTATCTACCTTGTTGGCCTTGGATTTGATTTTGCTGCTGTCAGACTCTATCAGCTGCTGTAGATTGATCCATTCTAGTACTTTAGTTGCTACATCAGGAATGGTGCTTCTCAGCAGGTGTTCTAAAGCAAACAAGCATTTCTAGCAGGAAAAATGAAGATTCTTATAATAATGATTAACCATATAGATGGATAGGATGGCATAAAAGTCTGAAGAGATGATTGTATGAAAATTGAAAAAAGAATGGATAGATGGATGGAATAACATGAAATGAGATGGATGTACTAATAGGATGAGTGGATGGATGGAAGGGAGGATTCATTAATGGATAAATGGATGGAAGGGACAAAGTGTGTTTGAAGTGAAGGAGAGAAGAATGGGTGAATAAATGGCTGGGKGGGGGGATGGCTGGGTGGGTGGATGGCTGGATGGATGGCTGGGTGGGTGGATGGCTGGATGGATGGGTGGGTGGCTGGAAGACTGGGTGGATGGCTGGAAGACTGGGTGGATGGCTGGAAGACTGGGTGGATGGCAGGAAGACTGGGTGGATGGCTCAAATGAAAATGAAGGGAGGATGAGTAGGGATGTGAATGGATGAGTTGATGAAATGGAGACGTGGGTAAATTGAAGAATGGCCAGAAGACTTGGTGGATGGATTCAAGAGTGGGTGGATTGCTAGAATAAAGGAAGGATGAATGGCTAGAGATGTTGATGGATGGGATGGATGAGTTGATGGAATGGATGGGTGGTTGGAAGGAAGGGTGTATGGCTAGATATTGATGGGTGAACAAATAAATGGATGGACAGACGTATGGACATCATGGCCATTAAGGAGTAAAGCACTCCTGATAATATTTACCATTTGTACATCAAGACTTGGATCTTCCAGTCTCGTATTGATTAATTTTAGTATTTTCACAAGATCCAGTGTACTACACCTAAAATAGATGCATAATTTTAATAATTAACAATGTATAGTAACCCAGAAATTATTTACGGAAATCTGGGTTTTACAATTAAGAATAGGCCCTTAGTCACGTGTCTATACTGGTGAGCAAATTTCTTTATTTTATTTTAAATTGGTGATTCTTTTTAGCTACTTGTAAAGAACTGAATGAAACGATGTGTAACCAGTGTGTTACGAAATGCAGTTTTATTACGAKCTCTCGAAACAGGTTGTAGAAAGTTTGTTTGCTCACCAGTATATTTCACCCATGGGAATCAAGATGTTCATTCATTTGCTCTCAGTGAATTAATCAGCACGTGATTACTGAGCTGCAAAGGGCCTATTGAATATCATATCAATAATACATAAATCAATCAATTTGAGAAAAAAAGATTCCAATCTAAACATTTCTGAGTATACCTTTGTGTAAACTGTTCTAGAGATTCTTTGGATGGTACTGCACGTATGCCTCCCTCCTCTGTTATCTTGTTCACTAACTGATTCTCTGCTGTACCATAATCATCATCGTCATCATCATCATCATCATCATGCTTATCATCTTCATCATATCCATTGTCTTTAGGCTTTTCATCAGCCACAGTTAAAATACTGGTGTTGAAAGAAAAATAACTCATATCATCATCATCATCATCATAAACATTCAAAATCATCATCATCATCATCATCATTGTCATCATGATCACCACGGTCCATCATCATCACCATCATCTTCATTCAACATCATTATCATCATCATCACCATCATCTTCATCATCATCATCATCATTATTATCACCATGATCATCACCTTCGACAACATCATTATCATCATCATGGTCTTTAACCTTATAAAAGAATTATAGTCATTTTAAAAAGAGCCATAGGATATAAGTGATCTTGGAAATAGGTCACTCCAAAACCAAGAATAGCTGGAATGAATGGTATTTCTTATAATATTATTCTTGTCAAGAATGCATAAATATTCAGAGTGTTGTTTGTACTCGACATGAAACCAGTATCCGATTGTTTCACCACAGGCAGCCCAGGTTTACCGTTAGTGTTGAATAACTGAATCGATCGAGAGACAGACATACAGACAAAGATTATATGGGTATCATATGGGTATTTTTGAATCCTCATTTTTACACTTTAAAATAGTTTAAATCAAATAAAACTCCCACCGTATGTTGTTGATATATTGAACAGCCCCATGGTTTAATTACAGCTCATTTCGTTCGGGTTTAGATGACACTTCCCCACCACACACTAAAGAGTGTGTTGTGCTTACTTTGCCTTGCTATTCATATAAAAGTTTTATTCTTTACACGAGAACTTTTTTTTTCCTTTTTTACAGTATATTTATTGTCTCACCCTTCATAGATAGATTTTACAATGCATTTGATATGTAGGCGAACTTTAGTAGGAAAACTTATAGGTAGGCGAACTTCAGTAGGCAAAACTTATATGTAGGCGAACTTCAGTAGGCGAACCAATGCGTAGGCGAAACAATCGTAAAGCATGAAACCAAACACCATCATTCCTGTTTTAGTTATATTCTCATGATTCCTTTGGGTCTTGGAATGACCTATCACCTATTGGCATGAGTGAAAAAATTCTGCGCATGCTTAAAGCTGATATGAAAATTAGTCCAAAAAATCTTTGTTATTATTAGACACTTGGAAGTTAGACAGACATATGTTGAATGAACTGCATACCTTGAACTATGTTCAGCTACCTTTTGATGAGAGCCTACAACACAAGAAAGAGATAAGATCTTGTAAACACAGGGTGTGGTTATAAATATAAAGATAATAATATATAAAACAACAGCTGAAAAACTGTGTAGTTTGCAGGGAATTATTAAGAGAATCAAGAGTGTTTAGGCCAGGGTATTTCATGGTTCAATCTGTGAGTTAGCCGAGCCATTAACCTAGAGGTTTTTTTAAGATTTAATTCATGCGTTACCCATGTCCTGACTTAGATTAGCCCATAAGGTTGTTAATCAAAGTCCCATCTGTAAGTTAACATTACTGTGCCCTGACTTAGATAAGCCCAGAGGTTGTTTCAGGGTTTGATCTGTGAGTTAGCCATGTCCTGACTTAGATCAGCACAGAGGTTGTTCCAGGGTTTGATCTGTGAGTTAGCCTTGCTCTGACTTAGATCAGCCAAGAGGTTGTTCCAGGGTTTGATCTGTGAGTTAGCCTTG